GAGATACGTGCCTCCCCAGGCGCTGCTGATTGCAGAAGATGTCAGTGAGGTGGAATAATTGCTGAAGTACCCTGTCTCATTCTATATGTCGTAATGGAACCACTCAGGTGTTAATGGATCAAGACACTGTATACACATACCACAAAATAGGCAGCAGCTGCTCAAAATTCACACTGAAACTGTAATATCCTGGTAAAAGGGGAGAAAGAGATTCAATGTGTACCTGACTGAAAGTCATCATTTAAAGGTTTCAGCCCCATGCATGAAAATACATACTGATGCAGAGACAGTGCACTTCCTGAACATTTAAAAAAACATCATATTACCTCCTGGGCTTTTAATGGGATTTTTAGCTTTGCAGTCAGTGAAGAGTGGACAATGTCCTTACACAGAGCCTGCATCTACACTGCAAAAAGCAGCTGCATTTCAAAGTATCAAAAATACTCAGTAAGAAAGAAGTTAATTTTACAGGTGCAAACAGTACGCAGATATTTTTTATAAGCTGATGTTTGGGATAACCTTTAAATAGAAACTGGGCTGGTTTAGTTCCTCATGTTCTTAAACATTTCTGCATTTGCCCGTCTTTAAAATGAGGTAAGTAAATCCACAGCTCTACAGGTCTGGCTGCATGGAAATTGTGGGTTTATTCACACTTTCAACATTAATTGTCTACATTTACATACAGCACTGCATTAACCACCTCCTCACATGTTGTGGGATTTTCTGCATACATACATACCTATTGCACAATAGATATGCAGGGAAAAAAAAAGAGTTGAAACGCTTAAATGGGTCTAGTTTCAAAAACTCTGTAAAGTCCACAAGGTGGACAGAAATTTAAATTACATTCCTCTTTGAGCATAGAGTACTCTGCCCTATATAGGAAAAATGTCTGAATTTCAATGGCATTGCTGAGAAGAGTGAATTTACTTCTTTGTATCTATACCCTATCTTCAGACTGCATGAGGTAAGCTCCTGAAGAGTTGTTTTATGATTCAGCAGAAGGTGTACTGATACGAATTTTATCTGGAGTTTTGTTTCAATACAAATTTCTACAATTCTCAGGCTTGTGAATTATGAAGTCTGATATGCTATGGTTTCCAGCACTGCATTCCAGCATAAAAAAAACAAATGGCAAATTCATTTTACAGTAAGAGCACAAGGAATTACTAAAACAGAAAGTTTTTGGAACACAGGTTGTTCCTAGGATGCAAATGTAATTTTATTTTGTAGGAAATAATGGGGAGTTTAATGCACTGGGGACAAACAAGAATGCAATTTTAAAGCACTTCACTGTATTCAAGAGATTTTTAAAAAAACACCTACAGTGTTGTGAGGTAAGAGTTGATTTTTCCACGTGGTTCATTGGAAAATTTAATAGTAAAACTCTCTGAAACATCATTTATTAGAAGGACCACACTAACCATGCAGTTAGTGTGCATGGTTAATGCAGCACTATTTTTGGGACTACACTAACATGCAGCTCAAACCACTGTCACCAGACTTGGCACTACTGTTTCTCCAGGTATGGTACATGCAAGGCTGATACTTATTAAGTATTACTCCTTAGCAGGCTGTGACTAAAGGCAGCACTCTGCTCTTGCCTGGATATACGAAGAGTGACACAAACACTAGCACATGAGAAACAGAGGGAAAACTATGTTGAACTGTTCACATTTCTCATGGGGAGGAAACAAAGGTAACTTATTTTACAGTATCTCTACAAGCAGGCAGCAGAACAGATTGCCTTTGAAGTCCAGATGAAATCTTGTTAACTTCAATCCCAGGCAGATGTGCAGTTTAATCTGGATAAAGATTACACAGCAGTATAAAACATAGCATCAATCTGCTTGTAATGAATTTATTTTTATTTCTACTATTAATAAATTCAGTAAAAATTAATTATGCCCTTTTATGTTTCTTTCCATATGTATCTGCTGTGAGTCACCTTTTTTTTTTTAAAATCTGTTTTCAAAAGTTTCTCTTGCTAGGCTTTTCTGTGGTGGCAGTAATGTCTCCATACACAAATGAGGTTCATGTACAGGGCACTACCATAGAGGCCACATATGCAATGCTTGCAGCACACAATCATTTTTAAGATTTATTCTGGATATAATAAAGTAAAAAGGGATAATATTACTGTTAGCATTTTCAGTGCAAACAGGACAGAATGTATCTGGAATGACTTAATGCCTGGCTAGCAGTACCAAGTATAACTTAAAACTTAAAAACCCCCTTGACTGTATTATTCAGATGAAGAAATCTGACAGAAGTACTGGCAAACAGATTTTCAAAAATGGCTGATGGCTTAAGTAAAATTAATGACCAGCCTGAGAAAATTAATTGCAGCTATTTTCTACCCTATTAACAGTAATTCCTTGTGTCTAAAGTTAAAAATTACCACATCTGATAAATGTCAACTCTTCCAAGAGGCAACTCCAGCACAACCTCCAGATTACAGAAATTTGGACAGAAGAAACTGCATTACCTGCCAGCAAAATGACAGTACAGCACATGCTGAACTTGACTGGCTCCGACCATGGCAGCACCTGCCCTTTCTGCACAGGCTGCTGGACTGGTGGCAGAGGTAGGGAGACTATGAAAACCAGCATGTTATTTCAAGGATGAAAATACACATCTGGAGCGCTGCAGGCACAGTTCTTTTCTACAGCAAGACCTGAACAATCTGCAGAGAGCTCTTCCCAAAAGAGAAATGACGCAAGGTGAAAATGCCTTTTGGTCACTATTCTGTTCCATACAAAGGATGTCTTCATTTTAGGCAGTCTAAACAAATTGTTTATGTTGGATTTCTTCTGCCTCACTTATGCCATCTGGGCAGCTTGCTCATTAATTTAAGGGAAGCAAAAAGGCTCTCACTACCTCATCCTCTTCACTGCCCCAGGGCACAGCTCTTAAAAGCAGAGTGGAAACCACCAAAGGCCCTTGACTTCCCAAAAGCTGTTTTCAGCAATCTGCCAAGAGCTGACAACATGCGTATTTTCATGCTTCTGCCCTCCCTGCTGCCAGGGCTGTGCATGGGCTTGGCTCAGCTCTCTGTCCCAGCTGGCCTGGCCACCTGCTCTGTGCCAAGGGCAGGCCTGCCAGTGCAGCAGAACTGCACCTTGCTCTGGTTGGGCTGCTCTGCCAGGACCTGCTGCAGGCCCTGCTGCCCTCCCTTGCCCCAGGGCCACTCTGCTGTCAATGACCAATTGAAATGACAAATTTGCATTATTAGCACTTGTCCTTTGCAGCACAATTTTGTCTTTGTGTCAACATGGTACATGTTGTTGCTTAAAATGTCTCACTATGTGGCACAACACTACGTCCCCTTTCCCCTTACAGTAGCTTCACTGCTCTTTCAGCTGCTATGTGCCCTCTTAATACACACATACATTGTGATAGCCATCACCTTCCAAGTTGTCAGTGACTGGGATCATCTCTCTGGTACTCATACAGGGACATGTTTTGTTGTTTGGCAGACGGAGCATCACAGAATTATTGGATAGCCTGGGTTGGAAGAGACCTTAAAGATCATCTAGTTCTGTGCCCCCTTCTGTGGACTGGAACACCCTCCACTAGCACTAGCCTGCTCAGAGCTCCATCCAGCCTGGCCTTGGATACTTCCAGAGATGGGAAAGTGCTATATTTTTAGGAATATGTGGATCTCATGAAAACACACGCTTCCACTAAGCATCATTGCACTAAAAGGCACGCTAACGGAGCAAAATCGTTTTTGGGGATCTTACTGTGTGCTAAAAAAGACATGTGCAATCATGTTAGGACCTGACACACAGGGTATGTTTCATGGACCTCCCTTCTGCATTATCACCTGTGTGGTTTTGTGAGAACTGAAAAGCCACAAAGCACCACCCAGTTCCCTCAGCCACAGCTGGAACAGCACCTTTAGGCACCCACCTGCAGATTCAATACTACTACCTTTCCTTGAGAAGAATGCACAAAAGTTACAGTATCTGCATATTGTGCACTGCAAGGGGAAGAAGCACAGTGCATACCAGGGATGGAAGTGACATGAAAGGAATGTAAACAAGGCAAACAGAAGCTTCCTGTCTTTATCCCCTGTTTAATTTGTTTTTTTGTAGCCTATACTTCTAACTAACACACTTCTGTTTAATACAGAAAGCCATCTTGTTATACTGGCAATTTTTAAACAGTGTCTAATTGTCAAGGTACTCCTGAAGTGCTGTGTAGCAAGACTTAATCACCAAGAAGAGGACAAGGAAGAGAAAAAAATACTGTTTAATGGGACAGCACAGTGCCAAATTAAGCCAAGAGCAGAAATACCACTAATGTATCATTTTGTTTTAATTTTGCAAAAATAAAATACTTTATTCTATAGCACATTTATAGGAAGGCAAAACAAAGTTTTAACTTTCTGTTTTTTCTTTAACCCTCCACTTAAGATATTGCTCTGACACAAACCACAGCAGATGGCTAAACCACAGTGGAAACCAAAAATACCTTCTGTGATCTCAGCTGTATATACAAAGGCCTTAAAAACTGGAAGTAGAGTTTTGGCTTAGGGTACTTAGTATCAGTTGAGTGGAGATATTTAATGTATCATTCCACTTCACATCATACATGTACTACTGTAACACTCCCACGACAATGACACACATTTATGTTCTTGGGACAGTCCAGTTTTAGGTGGCACTACACAAGTCTGAGAAAACTGAGAAGCTGAAATAATTATAAAATATGGAAAACCGGACATAGGAGTCCTTCAATACTTTTCTCCTGAAGCCTGGAGGATTCAAGCATACTGTTCTTTGCAGATGCACAGTAATACACATTTTAAACAGAAAAGCTAATAAGGTTCCACTACTAATTTGCATTATTAATTTCAACTTTTTCACTTCTTAAAAAAAAATCTTGTTTGCAGAAGCTTCTGTCAATTTCAGAACATGTGCCTCTCCCCGAGGACAAAAAGCGCTTGATCTGCTCAGGACTGAATTTATCATAAGTGTTTTTAGTTTCAAAACAGATGAATACCAAACTCTTGAATGCATCTGGAATACCAAAAAACTAGTCACACCTGTCAATTAAAGGGAGTAACATAAATATTTTGCTTACCTTTCCCATAAACAACAGTTTTGAGTCAACAACAGCTCTTATTTAATAATTAATGCTCAGACTCTCTTATAGGGTGGGAGAAAACAGGGTTATACTACCTCATTATGTTTACATAATGTTTACTTAGGAATGCAAAATCCAATCCTACTATGATAACAGGTTGTTGTACTAGCAACCTTTCAAATGACACAAGCTCTAAAAATACTGTAAACTGATCGATATCTGTCAAGGTTAAAGTGAAGACCAGACACTTACTTCTGCAGGCGTTCCAGCTCTGCGGGCAGGTCACAACCTATATAAACTCTGTTCATTAAACTGTATTCTAACAGTGCACAAAAACAGGGATCCTGCAAGAGAAAATTAATATGTAACTGTAATTGCGGTGCTCTGTGAATTTACAAATTAACATTGCACATAAATATAAGGGATTTAATAGGACCTCTTCCAGAAACAGAACTCTACAAATGGTCAAGTATGCTGAAACATGTGAGGAAGGTACCTGTATTTGCTCCCAATTACATGTAGTTACATGTTAAGTGTGGGGGAACTAAATTCTCATTCAGACCATTTCTGGAATACTGTTTTCCTTGTCCTTAGTGAAGTCAGACATAGAACGAGATATTAAGACAAGCTCAACTTATTCCTGTGGAATGACCATGCATAAGCCCAAAAGGAGTCCTCCTCCCTGGCACTCGTTGCATTAATTGGGAACAATCACTTCTGCCACCCTCCATTTAAAGTGATGAAAGTACATTTTGTGAAGAACCTCATTGTGTGAGGTTATTCAGAACGTGCTTACTGGACTTGCAAGTAGCTGGAGAACTTTAGAAGAGGTCAGAGCCTCCATGCTGGAGACAAAAAGGAGTTCCATGTCTGTATACACAGAGCACAATTTCCCTTGCACTTGGAAATCTATTGTGTGCGTGCCTGAACTGTCTGTTCGTGCAGGAACCCATGGAGATCAGATATTCCCAAATGCAGACCGAGGACAATGTACAAGTTCCTAACATATTCCGATGCTTCCTAACATCAGATTAACCACAAAATCATTCAATTGCTGTGGCAAATAACATATGCAATTCAAAATATAAACTCAAAACTTACTTTCACAAGAATGTGAGGATTTCCCACAACAATCAGCAAAGCTTTTGCTCTAGTAATTGCGACGTTAAATCTCTTTGGATTGCAGAGAAAGCCCAAAGAGTGTTTTTCATCATCAATTACGACTTTCTGAGATCGCACCTAAAATTAATTAAGGATAGTTTTAGAAATAAAATGATGAGAACACAACATACCACAATTTAACATACTATTTCCTTACTGCAACAATCCACTCAGTTGAATGACAATTCACAATCTGTCTTTCAGTATGCCTTCTTCAGTAGCCTCATCACTGTGCTTTGTCTTAGCATTTGAAAAACAGCCAAAACAAGTAGAGTGCTAAAAGTATGACTCATTAGTTTTTCAGCCATATTTAATCCATATTTGAACCTATATTTGAAAAAAAGAAAATTTTCATGACCTAAATAATGAGTTCTTAAATAGGAATGTAATACATACCTAGAACTACTTTAAGGGAGACCTGTATTGAAAAGCTATGACATGGAACAGTAAAAGTAAGCACAGTACCACTGCCCTCAGGAAAAAAAAAAAGCGAGAAAATCGCAGACTCTTCCTCCAAGCTGCAAACATGAAGTACTACAGATTTTTAAGAATACAGATTTTAAAGAGAAGAGTAACTCTACAAGCATGCACTTAATAAGCTCTGCTTTCAAATATTGTGACAGACTGACAAAAACAGAGCTTGTAAATTTTTTTAAAGGCTTATATTAAAAATGAAAAGCAGAATTAGACAAATAAAAATTCACAATAGGACCACAGTAGATTTACGCACTGTTGATAAGATGATAACCATGTACTCCTGCCCTTGAAACTCTTCTACTGTGCCAACCTTTACATCTTCCAAATCAATACTTCTGAGAAGAAATCTAATTTTTTCCACCTATCAAAAAAAAAAAAAAAAAAAAAAAAAAAAAAAAAAAAAAATAAAATAAAAAAAAAAAAAAAAAAAAAAAAAAAAAAAGTGGTTGAGGGAATTTAGTGTTACATTTGAGAGTGGACTGCTTTAAAACCAAAACCATACCACATACACCAAGCTTAGCCATCATTCACTAGTAAAATTTTCAAATAAAATAGTAACTTTTCCTACAAGAAAGCATCACAGCTAATAACACAACTTAGGTAAAGGAGTACTCTCTATCATAAATTGAACAGAAGGCAAGAGATTTTTAGTAGTCCACATTTTCAAGAGAAGAGTAACTCAGATCATTAAACCCTCTTTTTCCAATGTGCATCATATCCAAAACCATGCATACAACAGATCCAAGGACAACCAGCCTCCACTAGCCCTTGAAGAAGTCTACAAAGATTCCACCTTTGCTTGCCAGGTGCATCACGCAGAGTGAAAGGTGAAAGGTGTGAGAGATGATCTTAAGTATCCACCAAAAAGAAAGAGAACAAGGAGTCTCAGGCACCGGGATCCTGGTATATATTGGATTACTGTACTGCCATCTGCTAAAAGTTGCTCAGAGATTATAACTGAAGTGCTCCAAAAGACTTAAGAAGAAATCCTGCCTGACTAACCTCAAGATTACAGTCAAAGACTATTTTCTAATCAGTGTTCCTGCAATACAAAGTGACTTTCTTAATGTCGATGTTACTATCATACACCTTGTATTATAGGCAGATGAAGGACAAAATCACATTAAATAGTGAATTAATCACATTAAATCATTGTTTATAGGGTGAAAGAAATTCAGTCACATCAGTAGTATGAATACATATTTGAAAAAACAAATAATAACTGTCAACACAGGCAGGTGCATGCACCTGACTAGCTGTGTTGATAAAAGCAAAACTTTAATTTGCATGTGAGATTTCTTCACAAGGGCTTGGTCTTTTTCATACACCTCAATGTTTTCTCCAAGCCACACGTGCAAGGTTATGAATTCTGAGATGTGAAAAGCAAGAAGAATTATGTGCACTGTCCAAAATCTCCTCTGCAAATAAAATGGGTTAAAGTTTATTTTAAAAATGAAAGTAAACATAACACACTTAACACACCTGGATATAAATACATTTAAAAATAAAGCACAGCATTTGAAGTTAATGTTCAACATTCTGTAGAGGTTTAAAGAGCATTACAAACTTCAAGTCTGACTATAGGACACCTAAGAAGTCACAGTAATTGTTTCCTCTAGTCTCTTCAAGACCACAGCAAGGTGTCATGGCATCTATTTCACAATAACCACCTTTTGTTCCAGTCTTCAGTGCAGAGAGTGACAGAACCAGACTGCTGTTCCAGCTGTTGGATAATGAATTCTTGATTTGCACTCATTACTTCCAACAATTGAAAAATCTGCTTGTTTCCAAATTTCTCCTTAACTGCTTGATTTTTAAAACTGAAAAACCAGTAGAATGCCATTATTGCTGTCTTTTAGATTTCAATGGCAGCATCATAATCATTGATAATACACTGTGTAGCAGGATACACTATGGTGGAATTTTAAGATACGTCCCCCTGCTTTAACAAACCACAGCCACCATATAAATACCCGAGATGAAATACAGCAACTTTGAAGCTCTGATGACATCAGACCTGTTAAACACTATACCTGTTTACGGTATGGTGCAATCACTCCAATATCTGTCACTGGGACTGCAGAGTATTCACTTCTAGTCAGTTGGCAACAGTACATCATGACTTGAACTGCTTCAGCTGGATTAAACCATGAAGGACTGTGACCCTCACGTGTTTCAGTGCCCTGTATTGGGGGAAAGGGAATGAGATGATGGAGATCAGCTGCAGAAATGACTACATATTTATCAATACATTATTCTTATACCTCCTGAATGCAAAAAAATGATGGAATATTATATATAATTTCTCTTCCTCTCCATACATCTTTTCTAGAGAACAAGTATCACCTCACATTTTAGATATATTTTTAATACATTTACAAATATAATTGATATAACAACAGTATTTTAAGTATGCAACAAAGGAGTTATATCTCAACTCAGTACAACATATGTTAATAAGCTGGTATCTTGCTTTTTTCAAGGTGGAAGTGTTCTAAACCAAACCTCTCCAAACAGCAGATATTGCTTCTGACTAACTTCTTGAAAGACTAAAGAAATTTTTTTGTCCCCTGCCAAGTTAAGCTCTAACAATCCTTTAGTTTTAGAGGCTTGTATCCATTTAATGTAGGAAACTCTCATCAAAAGCAATCTAGAGAAGCTGATGGTATAACTCCAGTCTGATCATTTGCTATGAATTTAAACTTCTATGAAAATGTCCCCACAGTGCACTTCAAGAGGCAGCTGCTCACGTTCATAGCAGACATTTGACTTCAGTATTTGTTTTTAAAACCATATGGTCAGGAATTCACATTACCTGTGAAAGGCAGTTTAACCCTTTTTCACATCCTTTCTAGAATTTCTTCTAAAAAAAAATCAGCAAACTGCTAGCAAGCCTATACAGTTAGTTCGCTCTATGAACATTTTACATACCCTTATTCCATGAAAAATTAATGGAAATCCCTTCCTGGGCAATTTCTCCCAATTCAAGAAAGAAGTCACTACTGAGGTATCTGCACAAGCTTCCAGTTCCTTATGATAAAACAATTTAGATGGCAAGGCAAGCAAAGCAGAATGTGACCTGTAGTTCTTTGTGAGTTTAGTGATCTGCAAAGACAAAATCCAAAATCAGACTTCTCAGAACATAGCTACAACCTTACCATCCACTAGCATTTAGCATTCATAAGGCTGCCAAATAACTGTATTCAAGGCAAAAACTGCAGTTGTGATCTCCTTTAAGTAAGAAGTACTCCAAAACAGTTTTTTGAAGGACCATCTCCTTCCCCTCCAAAGGAGAAACAAACAAAATTGAATGTACATGATAGACGAATGGGTCATTCCCCAGTTTCTTGAAACATTTGATGTATAGATACATTCTCCTTTTTTAAGAGTCAGATTACTTCCATGGAGTTTCAAAGGATGTAATGTCTTCTTTTGAAGAAGTCTTGACAGGCAAACAGGGAGCATCAGAACAGCTGACAGAAGCTGGCCTTAAAATATCTAAAAGTTATCCGTTTTTAAATGAAAAAACAATCTTAAATAAACATTCCAGAAAGTATTAACCAGCTCAAAAAACCCCAGTCCTGTAAAAAGGATAACAAAGGCTGTTCAAGTCAAAACATACCCTTAAAGCCCTCCCATTTCCTGATCTCTCACTATGCCAATTCTCCTTAAGCACTGTGTAAGGAACACAATGACCACAGCTTGCGCTAGCAGATTTTAGGAGGAAGTGTGACAGGTTTTTCAGCAGGCTGAACCTGACCTAAAACCTAGGTCCAAACACCCTCACTTTCACCCTTAAATCTGCCATCAGATTTCCTCCACTCTCTATTTCCATGGTCATCTAGTCATCTTCTGCTCTCAGTTTAGTCCTTCAAAGTATGTTACCCTGAGAATAGGAAGGTATCTTCAGAAGCTTACATTAGCCCTATGTTTCGGATTCAGACAGTAATTGAAAGCAGCTCAAACACCTGTACTTGTTTAAATACTATGCCACCTCTGCCACTTAACATAGATTTTAGGTACTTGCCCATACAGGAATCTGGGGGAACTATACTTCAAAGGAAGACATGATAAAGAAATAAGAACAATTTATCTTATTCTCTATGAGAATGATGTTTACAAAATTAATCTTCAAAGAAGAGACTCTGTCTTTTTTATGTTAAAAGCAGAAATTGTACTTTTTCATCTGTGGAAAATGAAGTTATGGTAAATCTGGACTATGAAGATGAAAGGGAATTTTAAGCTATTATTTACAACTGTGCTTTGTGTACCATATTTGACTTATGATACTTAAGAATAGAGGATCCCTTCAAATAGAAGTTTTAACATGCTGGAGGACTCTGCATCATTACTATTCAGACTACATATACAAACTAATCAAGCTTTTCTAGTGAATTCATGCTCAAGGTAGACTTATCACTAACCATCAGGGATCAAAATGGTGGTAAGAAACCACAACTTCTCCCTTTTTGATTGAGCTGAAAAAGATTGATGGAAAGTTTAACTCACCAACAAAGGATTGTATGCTCCACAGGCACCAAAAGCATCCTCGTCTCTCATATATAGCTCTCTTGATGACAGTCTTTCTAGCAAGGACATACTTAATCCAAAAGACTCTGCAAGTTTAGATTTTATTACTGGCCCTAACTGCTTTGGATCTCCAACGAGAATTATCTGTACATGAAATTTAAAAACATCTTAGATTAAAACAATTGTAATTGAAACTTCATTTTATAATGACATACACATTTCAGAATTCAGAGATCAATTAATACAAAATATTCTGCTTTCCTTCAAACATTTATTTGCAAAGGACAGAAGTATGTTGCTGTCTCAAACAGAGCACATCTTTGATATCTCCCACACAGACCCAGTCCTCCCAACATAACTTGTTCTAGATGAAAAGAAACTTAAGTGTTGAGAATTGATATTATACATGAATAATCTCTATTACAAAATCCATTACCAGAAAATGGCTGCTTGCATTCTACATAATCCACAAAATATGAAAATAATAAACAAGATTTTTCCCTTTCAGTAAATGATGTTAAGAGAACTACCTGTCCATCAGCTTCTGAAATCAACCCAATAGGAATCAGACTCTCCGGTTCACTTGCCTGACCCGCCTCATCCAGAATCACATGAGTGAAATGTCCAAGCCTATAATTAAATAACATTAACCTGAAACAGGGCTGTTTTCCGATTAGTTCATTCTGCCACCCTGTGGCTGACCTCAGCAACTGTGTTAACATCCTCATCAAGTGTGCCAGGCAACCCCATAGACACAGAGTAAAGATGTGTATTCCCAAAAGGAAATATAGAAAAAACAACCCCCTAACTTTAATTTTTCATCTTTGATTTCACTTACATACTCTGATATACACAACCTTTAATTAAAGCTTTGTACCAATGTTAAGATACTTAGAAAAGCTTCCCTTATTCTCAGTTTCCTTAAGGTATTGAATGAAAACAATGCACTTGGTTTAGCAAAGTATCTCCAAGCTTTGTTTCTGCCAAACAACTCGAGACAGTAAGGCTTTAGACTGTCCTCTTCTGAGGGCAAAATCCAAGTCAGAGACAACCTTGGTTAAAAGAACTTGATATGATAGTTTACAATTAGTAAAGGTGACTTGGTAAAAACCAAATACATTTTTAGACTGGCAATCATTTTGAGCCGAAGTGATTGTCAAGAGCAATTTAACTCCCACTGGTGGCAGAGGAGACATTATTGTTTCAAAAATCTTAAACATTACTCAAGATAATTCTTAAATTTACCATGGAGAAAGTTTCTACTTAAACATTACTAAAACCAAGTACTTTGCTCTCTTACACAATACAGGTGCATGCAATAAACTACTAAAACAGCCCAAGTTACAGGTTAGACAGTCTTTAAAAGCTCTGGCGTTTGTGTCATCCAGCCACTTCAGTGATCCTCCTATCTATGGTACTGTACCGTGTATCTGTTTGATAAAAAAATCCTGCACTGCTGCATGTTGTAATTACAATCCTGGACCACAATGCCTTCTGAATATCATCACCATCTTTGCAATAAGGTTTCACCATGTCATCAATTTGCTGCAGAAACAAAAAGGTAAAACAACTTGACAGCCTAAAACAAAACATTTAAATTTGAATAGAAAAGCTCTCTGAAAACTATTTTAAAAGCTGAGCAAAACACATAGACTAACACCCATTCATATACCACAATGAATTAATTGATTTGCCTAAGCAAAATTGTACATATGCAAGACATGCTTTATTGTAAGGATCAAAATGGAACATAAGGATATTTCATATACTCATCTAGGCATACACACATATATGTGTGCATATATACATATAAACACACACGTATATATACAAATGTGTATCTCTATATATATACACTTATGTATAAATACGTATACATATGTATAAATATGTATGTATATATGAAATGAACCCACAAGGTGTGCGTCCTGCATGGAGATGACAATCCTACTTGCTTATTATCTGTGTTAAGTAGTCTTAACGTGGATTGATAACAAAAAAAACCAAATTAAATCAAAAATCCCCACCAATGCTTATTTGCTGTTTATGGACTTACGCACATCAAGAAAAAGGTGAAGATCCTATGCTCACACAATCATATCAAGGATTATGATCAACTTTCCAGTTAGTTAGTCCCTCTGGAAAAGCTGAAGCAATGTAATACTCTGGATCCTAAGCAAACCTAAGCAGCCTCATAGCCACTGAGAGTTAAAATACTAAATCAGTATTTTAAGGTAGAAAATATTAAAATGGAAATCTTAAGTGGCAGATAATATTTACCTCTGCTGACCTGAAGGCAGCATTAACTCGAACCATAGTTCCTGGTTTTAAGAGACTGCTTTGATGCAGCCGCAAGCAAATCAGATCTGTTGCAGCATTTGATGGTGCACATACCAAAATCCGACTGTCTGGGAGAGTAAAATGTATCTACATTAAAGAAGACAGATATTAAAAAAACAAAAAAGGTTATGTAAGAAGCAGCAATACTGCAAACATTTCAATTTTCTTTCATTTGAATACAGAACCCGAAAGAGTTTTGCACACGTGCAATATCAATTAGTTCTTTAGCAGTTTGGTAACACTCCTGCCGACAGTCATGACTAAGTAGTCTTGAACTGAGTGCACCCACAACAGAATTAATTAAGGATTAACATTTTAATGTATACCTGTGCTTCATGAATACATTATGCACTACTGCAATCACAAGGTAGACACTGTTCACTAAAGTTTTAAAGATAAAAAGGCGTGAAAATAAGCCATTCAGAATTCTGTTAAATCCATATGAAGATGGATTTTCCTCCTTTTATGGAGCTATAGAAAATTATTTTAAAAAGACTGTTTTGAAAACTCCTTTGGAAAAAATATGATGGTACTTACAGAAATACTATAAATGTTCCAACATGGAAAAGACTAGAGATGACAGATTTATTATTTACTACTACCTGTAAAATAGCTTCAATTACTGTTACTGTTTTTCCAGTTCCTGGTGGTCCAAAGAGAAGATAAGGTGTTGGGCGACATTCACCACTCAGTATCCTTTTCACTGCCAGTTTCTGTTGCACATTCAGCACAGGATTGAAAAATTCACCATCTCTCTGTTTAAGTGCCACAGTTTCATCAACTATAATCAAAACAAGATTGATTAGAACCTCATATATATTTTTTAATGTATGCACATTTAAGCAATTCCAATTCACAATATGCTTCTGCACATTTTTTGTTTTCCTTTTGTGGCAACAACGAATGAATTTCTCAAAAATTCCATTTTCATTGAATACCAAGTAGAAAATAAGCCATTAATATTTCAAAAGTGTATTGGCTCTTTATTGAAAGGTAAAAAAGGACCATGATTACATAACCAAACAATCTGTAAAAACTCTGTTCAGTCATTTTAGAATCATGTTCAATTTCTTGTCCTAGAACAGCAAAACTTGAGAGACTTCCAGTAACTGGTACTTTGGGGATAGTACCACTACTACATGATCAGGCCTCTGCTACAACTGCTGAAATTTTTTTTTCTTAATCCTGTCTGAATTAGTCTAGCTTTAGCTTTCCACAATATAATCGTATTAACCCTTGGACATAAGTGCCTTCTAGGTAATTTCTCAGAAATTCTTTAGCATACTTTTGATAAAAAATGATCACTCTTCTCTTAGGCATATTGCTACAATGATATTTGAAGTCACAATTTCAAAACAAAAAGCGCAGGAATAATCTGGGATATTGAAAAAGTTTTAGCATCTTCAGCAAAGCTTTCCAAAAGATGAGAGACAGCATCCCAATAACAAATTGAAAACTCTGAATCAGATCAAAAGGTTTTGAGTAAATGACTGGGAAATAACTATTTATTCATTACAAAATATATTATCATATGCCTGCTCCCTGTTCCCCCAAGTGTTCAAGGCCAGCCTGGATGAACTCTGGGCAACCTGGTCTAGTGGAAGGTGTTCCTGATGGTGGCAGAGGGGTTGGACATGGACGATCTTTAAGGTCCTTTCCAACCCAAACAATCTCTGCAAATTAGACATGTTTAAATAATGCACCAAAAGCCTCCATAGAAACTTCCTGCTAGTATTTCTAGAATTTGTCTTTAAAGGCAGAGCACAAGGACATCTTAAAGGTATCTTTGATTTACTGATACGATACTTATTATTTAAGCACAAAAAATACGCCAAGTTGACTTGTTTGCAGAGTTACTCTTATCACCTCTGTTATGTTCACCTCCCTTGATGTCATACCTTTTGTCTGTTTGTTCTGCTTTTTTTTGACCTGAAAAGAGCAAGTGAAGATAAATGCATTTATAACCTTAAGAAGACAGGCAACTATCTTCCCTGATACTTTTGAAGTTGCTAACCTTTAATTTTCCCCATTAAATAGAATTATCTACCATTAAGACAGAAAGGTAAGAGTAGCAGAAGAAGGTGCCAGGAATTTTCATGTTAAGTTTAAGATTTCTAATACTTTGGCTCTGTTAATATTAAAAGTTTATTTCACAAATACTCTACAGGCTCAGATGAGGATTTTGAAGCCATGACTACATAACTTGTTTGCTTCCACAAAAGTAAACAGTCAAATTCCACTTTGAAAGATACATGCATCTTCCTGGGTGGGCATGTCCCTTCAGATTGTAGCACAGGAGAAAAATGCTTGTAGGGAATGTAGTTTGGCAAGATTCTGGACATCATGCCTCTATCATATTAAAATACTGATTTACAACCAGATTGATTGATTACTCCTTGTTGTAAAACACAAACCGCAGGTGAAATAATTAGGGAATTAGGAAAAAATCTTGAGTGCAAAGGTGGTGAAACACAGATTATGCAGACACACTGTGAAAATTCTAGACAAAAATAAAGAAATGCTGCCACACACCCCCAGACTGACTTGATTTAGTGTTGGTGACAGACTTGCTTCAAAAAGGAAAGAGAATTAGGCAGCATCCACAAGTCCTTTCTACATTTTAGTAATATATAAGTGGCAGTTAAGCCTGGGTAAATCTACGCAGAACAGGATGATTTTCTTCTATTATAAAATTATTTCCTGCCACATTGACTGGACTTGCATATCTACTTAACAGTAGCTATGAAACTAGTCTAAGGCAAATATGACAATTCCCATCACAATCACACACTTTTTTTAATATGCACTTTCCATTTTTGAAGCTTTATAGTGTCAGCTGTCATAAATTCCCCATCTCCAGGCAGCAAACAAAATCTTTTGTCATTAGAATGCAGCAGAATACAACTTTGATTCTTTGATACTCCATTATGCAATTCCCTTCTGGAAATAGCTGTACACTAAGTATCTGGTACCAATCTGAATGAAGAAACATTTCAAGGAACATTTACAGAATAGATACCTTACTTTCCTGATGTGAAGCTTGTTTAAAGCCATCATCAAGAGCACAATACTCTGTACTATTCTGGGTCTTGACAGCTTGTGGTGATTGTAACACAAGCCTTTCTGGAAATAACACTAAATTTAGAAGAGAAAAAGAAAGTAGAGAAGTTTTAAAATCACACAAATACTTTTCATCTTTCACTGATTAATGTTACTGTTGATACATCAGCTTAGTCTGAGCTGCCAAAATTGGTTTATCAGAACTAAGGTGGTAAAGATGTGAAGTTCATATGCATTGTTCAACTCAACCGGGGATCAGGAAATCAGTGTTTAATAAATTCTGAAATAACACAAAGCATGACCATTTCACTGGCTATTATTATAACAGTATGTATTATTCCTACATTTCTTGTTGGCTCTAGCAGTTCACAAAGTTTGCTTCCTCTCCTCCTGCCTGTGATGGCTAACAGATGAAATAATTTTCACAAAACCTTCTATACATTCAGCATTGTTTTTTCTTCTTAAAAACCAAACCAAAACAAAAAGCCCCTAACACAAGGAAAACTCCTGTAAGAATAAATTACAACGCATTCTTCCCAGTATGCCCTGATGTGAAAGCAATAAAACCCACGCAACTCCGCACAAAGAAACTCCTCTAGACAGGTTAATAGTCAAATTAAATAGTCAAACCTTTTTCACCCAGATAGACAGCTTGCTGAATGGCCAACTGGCATCGCCTGCTAGGAACACTGGAACCAGAATACAGATTTGTAATTAAAGTAAAAGCTTATATTTCAATATACTATGACAGCACACTACTATGAGTTATCTGGTACTTTTTACAGTGCAAACAAAAAAAAAAAAAAAAAGGTTTTACATAAAAATGCATGGTTTTTTAAAAAAAGAATCTACTGAGAAATATGCTGCAGAAGTATAAATAGTTTTGCTATGAATAATATTGATACATATTCTCCAGCTTTTTAGCCATACAAAGATGGCTTGGTGTTCAACACTTTCAAGGAACCTCTTTGCAAGGCTGAATTTACATAGTGGATTATGTAACTCCAACTAAATAACAACATCCCATGAGTAAAACAAAAAGTATAGAAGAATGGGAGATTATCACCAGCTATTTTTACTTCCTGTATTGTCTTACAGTCATATCAGTACATAAAAAAAACCAAACCAAACCAAATCCCAAAACCCTAAGAAAAATACCCCCAAACACCCCACATCATTCCTCCCCATTTTACTGTCTGGTATTAGTGTGGCTATCTAGAAGTTATTAAGATAACAACTCTCTGAACACTTTTAACCATGAATATGGTAGTAAAGGTGTGTTGAGGAAAAGAAGTGAAAAAATTGGCAAGAGCTTAATTATGTCTTTCTCTGTGTCCACCAAAATAAACAGTTGATGGTCATATTTTAAAAGTCACTCTACTAAAGGAATCACTAAACATAGCTTTCTGAAAAGCTTATAAAAACACCTGCAATGAGCAAATTCCACATCCATGGGCTCCAAGTTGTAAGCACGTTCGAAGTCAGCATTAACCTTAAGAGTAACATCTTCCTCACATATCTGTTACAAAGATAAAAAAAGTTTGGATACTGATGAAGATTTAGTGCTTTCAAAAGTGCTTTAAACATAAAGAGGCACTTTTGAAAGAACTTAACCTCCCACCAACTCCAAAAAGTAAATCTAGATTTACTTACTAACAACAAATTACATATCTAGATTATGTTAAAAGTGCTTTCAGAGCAGGCAAAGATTATAATCTTAAAAGAATAGGGAAGCCAGAGTTGTCAAAAATACAAAATCACTATTCAAGATATAGATAAAATAAACCTATCTTCTCAGGAGTCAGGTTAAAATAGTCTGTAATTCCAGGAATTGCAAGCTTCCCTTAGAAAACCTGTGAACCACAGTTTTTTCAAAAGGAGAACATCTTGCTTACCTCAGCAACATGGGCAATGTACTCTATTATATGATCTGAGTAGACCTGACTTTTCAGTATCACCTTATCACCTAATTGTAAACAAAGTTAAAAGGCAAAATACTGTTACAAGGAATACTAACATTTTCACTGCAGCATGTAATTCTCTTCTCTATGTTTGAACTAGGAATTTGCAAGAGGCTAACTTCAGCAAAATTGCTGTATGCATCAGTACTGTTTTGAAATGCCATATGCAGTTGTATGTTACAAAAGGCATCTAGTATTGATGCCATCAGACAACACCTCTTGGAAACAGTATCTTGCATATTATATTACTAGAAATTATGAATTTTACTTTACCTTCTTTCCCAGCTTTTTTGCTACACTTACTGCATTTAAATCTATTTCTACATTGCACAGCTTATTTTTGCTGAAAGCCCCACTGATTATTGCAAAAGAAAAATCCTAAAGTATTGAAACATCTGTAAGAACAGACACATGCAATGCTGCTTCAGATCGCAGCCACTCTGAGACACCAACATAGTGTTCCTGTGTCCCCTGTCTAGTAGCTTAAATGAATAACTTTGTGCTCTAATATCTGAAAGACTTTTTTTAAACAAATGAATAATAATAGTTTGCACTGTAGTGAAAATATAGATCAACATGCCATTTGACTTTATCTCACGTTCATTTCTACCTGGAATCAGGCGAGGTCTGCCCTCTTCTACTCCTGGCACTTCCAGCACTAACAAGTTCCCATTCCTTTTTAAAGTAACCCCACTCATGTAATAATCTTTTAAATCCATTTCTGCTTGGATCTCTTCAAGCCATAAAAGAGTTGAAAAGTTTGCTTTGTAATTATTTAGATTAAGACGCTGAAAAAAAAAAAAAAAATCAAACCAATATACATTATTGTTTTTCACCAAGATACAGAACCTACTATTGCTAACATTAAACAAAACACTTCTTGAGATAGACTGTACAGCAACTAGGTTGCCAAATAAGATACCTAAAGACATGTATCCGTACACTAGATATAATATTTTAAACCTCCTTGATAGCCAAAGTGAGATTCGTATAGTCCTTGAGCTCAAATATAATAGCCCCTTACCTAAAGAGCTAACCAAGTCTCTCCCTACTACAGCAGCAGTTTCACCATGTGAATCCAGGGGCAGTCTACAGACTGAGTTCTATGCTCAGTTTATGCCCAGAAAGCAAAACATTTAAATACATGGACACAGACAGCTGAAAAGAGAGAATCATGTCAATCTTGGCCCTGGCTGATGATCATACAGCTTAGGCCAGCTCAAATAACCTGAATTTTCTCCCTCAAACCTTAACGAATCTCACTGCAGAGGTGAGATTCTCCAACAGTACCAACTTCTAAGGTTAGGGTTATGGTGTGGTTAAAAAAGGTAACCAGTAATGGCAGGCCCTCAGTGTAAAATTATTGTAAACACTACAGAGCTTTTTGAGAGGCAATGTCCAACCTACTAGCTTAATGTCGTCGTCTCAAGTTTAATGTGAAATGTTTAGTCAACAGACAATATAGCCTTTTATATTTTAAAAAAGTGTCAGTCCCAGCTTATAAGTACTTAAAATTTACAAAGAAATTGAGTTGCAGCCATATTCTACCAGAAATCAGAGCTAAGTTTTGGAGAAGGAATCATTGTAATATTCTTGTTAAGACTATAGCTTTTTTGGGGGTGTTTTATATGCCATCTTAAACTGCTATACTTGTGGGAAGAATCTGAACAAGCTTTAGTGAATTAAATCTGAAGATGTTTACAAAAACTTTTGAACAACCAGAAAAGAAGCCTCTGTTATTGCAATAATATAAGAGATTGTGATTTTCTATGAAATAACAACCTTTCTGACACCTAAAAAAATCCCATTCCAGTGATGCCTAAAAAGTGAGAATACAGAGAAATCTTTGTTAAGCTTCTGTGATGTCCACCCCCAATATACTTCAACTCTCTTTTCAGATTTTCCCATTTATGCTTTTGTAAGCTTGGATTCTGTAATATACTGAAACCCATGAAAGTTATGGAATCCAAAATGAAGTGTAAGCCTACCTGACTCAAGTGTTATGTCATCTTCTCTTACACTAAGGACTATACATTCTTCCTAAGTTAAGGTGCTTGAACAAACAACAGTATCAAAAAATATCTTTTATATAAAACCTAAACTTACATACCTCTGCTAGGAGGGGCTGAAAGGTCAGTATGTCTAAATGCTGCTCCACACATTTTCTTAACTCATCTGGTATGGTATAATGCGGGAGAAAGTTTGAACACCACCTTCTCTTGTTTCTAAAATGAAATTATACAACATAACATTTAGCTAGTTTAAGTAATGTATGAAAAAAACAGCTGATTAACATGCCACATCAACAAGACTATAAACCCAAAGCACATGCACATACACACGACAGATTAATAACTCCTTCAAAGGGACAACTGAGAAGTTTGCTATACTGGGAAGAAAGGCAAGCGATCTTACAAAGATGCTCCTTGACACTGTAGAGAAAAAAATTAATGTGGCCAAAGCTCAATTGAAGTTAAAGCTGTCCAGTACTATGGGGAACAACAAAGAGGTTTTAAAAATATGCCAATAGCAAAAAGCACTGCAGAAACATTGGCCCATTACAGGATGAGGATGATCACCTCACACACAGGGACACAGACAAGGTAGAGATGTTTAATGCTTTCATTGCTTCCATCTTCTACATCGATGAGGGGCTAAGGGAGTGCCAGTGCCTTTAGCTGGAGAGTCATGACTGAGAAGGATAAAATCCAAGTTGAACCTAAACTTCTGCAGGATTTGCTGCTCTTGCTGGATTGCTATAAGTCTATGGGACCTGATAGTATTCATCTGAATACTTGAAGACCTGGCTGATGTCATCACAAGACAGTAAAGCTTTTGATACTGTCTCTCAGAGGATCCTTCAGGACAAAATATCCGGCCCAGAGCTGGATAAATACATCATGCCACGGGTGAGCAACTGGCTCACAGGTTGGGCACAAAGGGTTACTGTGAAGGGGTGACATCTGACTGGTGACCTGTTCCTAGTGGGGTTTCACAGGGCTCCATCTTAGGGACAGTTTTCTTCAACATCTCCTCAAATGACTTAGAAGCCAGATTTGAAGGCATACTGAGTAAGTTTGACAATGATACTAAGTTTCAAGGAGCTGAGGACTCCCTCAGATGCAGTGAGGTGCTGAAGAAAGATGCACACAAATTAGAAAGATGGACAACCACCAAAAAAAGTTTTGAGTGAAAGATGGGAGACATTAGTCAGATGTAGACATTAAAGTTGTGTAAAGAATTGAGAAGCTTATTATCTCAGAAAACTATTTTCAGTTTCCCATTTTTTTCTTAGTAACACAATTCTTACTAAGTAGATAAATAAGGAAGAGTGTTTTATCTTATTACCACACTACATATTAGAAATTGTTTGAAAAATCAACAAAGAAATCAAGCAATTAATTAGTAAAACAATCTATTCCATCAGAAATGTCCACAATCATCTTGTTTACTATATATATAAAAACATGTATAGATTCTCCCAGATTCACATTTTCTTTCTCAGCATTACAGAACAAATACAGCACTATGAAATAGAACAGTGTTAGGCAAGTATTATTTTATGCTCTAAGTGACAGTACCTTTTGTGTTTAGGGGCAACCACTGTTGTCTTCCTTGGCTGAGAATCTGTAATAATTTTAGTCTTTCTTGGAGAATAAGGTTGTACAGGTGCTATAAGTAATTCCTCTTCATTTGTTACAGTGGCTTCAATATAGCGGCCAACAGTAAAATCAGAAAAGCCAAGCAGGAGGAGCTCTTTACTGTGTCCATGAATCCTTCAAGTAAACAGAAGTTATCTTCTTAAAACCAATACGGTCACAACTTCATTTTCCCCAGCCATAAGAAACATTCTCATTTCAGTTAAATATGAGAATGCTAATTTAGGGTAATTCCTCACCCTTGTCACCTCAAATTCAATCCCAAATAATTAGAAAACTCACCCAAGCCACTCACCCACCCAACCAAAAAATCCCAACCCAAAGCCACAGCAAAACTCTCAACCCCACAATTTCATCAAAACCTTCAGTAAAATGCAAAATCCCTCCACTCTAGGGTACAGAATTAATACTTTTGTTAGGAGGAATATCTTGGAATTACTGCTACTGCAAAAGAAGAGACAAACAGGTCCATCAGAGGAACCTGAAGCAAATCCCTTCACTGTCTGTAATAACTGCTTTGCAGCACCTTGGAAAAGGCTACTCAGAACTGAACCCTAACTGTAAACACATGAATGGAGAAAGAAGGAAAAATCCTCTAATTCTGGAAAACATACTTTATATGTGCAAGTGTTACTTGGAGAGTGACAGATGGGACAAAAACAGGAGGGAAAGGTTTGTTCAGGCTAGTTTCTAAGAAACTTAAGCATTGCTGCAGTGCAATTCTCTAAATACATGGTCCAACATTGTTACCAAATGCCTGAAACAAATGCATCCCAGAAGAATTTCCCCTTCTCATATTGTCGCACCAGTGAGGACTCCAGGGGTGCACAAGGAGTTGGAAGGGGACACAGCCAGGACAGCTGACACCAACTGCCCCAAGGGATAATCCACATCATAGGACATCATGCTCAGTACATAAAGCTGGGGGAAGGAAGATGGGAGAACATTCTGAGTGATGGCATGTCTTCCCAAGTCACCATCATGTGTGATGGAGCCCTGCTGTCCTGGGGACGGCTGAACACCTGTCTGCCCACAGGAAGTGAATTAATTCCTTCTTTTACTTTGCTTTTGTTAGTGGCTTTTGCTTTACCTTTTCAAATGTCTTTATATCAACCTATGAGCTTTCTCACTTTTACTCTTCCCATTGTCCCTGCCGTCCCACTGGAAGGAGTGAGTGAGCAGCTGAACAGGGATTAGTTGCCAGCTGGGGTTAAAGCACAACATGCCAAGAAGAGAACTATGCCCAGAATAAAAGAACTGTTAAGTCTATTTTCATTACTTCTGGCCATTGTATTGATTAGAAATAATGGAAAGAAATACTTACACAGCTGTGCATATAACCACTATGAATATTTTTTCACCTGGTGGTATCACAATTTCTGAAGTAATATTGCTGTGCTTAGCTGTTTGCTCCATGTGGTCCTTTTGCTCACTTTCTCCATTTTGCATATTTTCATCTTTCACCAAGGAATTGTTTTCCTTCGTCCTTGATAAATTTGTATCTTGAAAATTAATTCCTTCTGTAGTAAATGTACAATAAACTTTGTTATCACAATTTCTACTGCTAACATAGCCAAGTCTTCTCAAACAAACCTACTGGTCTTCTGAGGAGCTAACATTCAGCATTCAAATTCTGTCATTACACTGTACCTGGAATGACTCCATTCTTCATAATGGATGTATGGTTCAATGACTCACATGTTGATCCTCCACTGTTGCTAAAGGAATTAATTGCAGCTTTTGAGAAGTTTTCTTGATTTATTGGAAAAGATGGACTGTTCTCACAGTTTTGAGGAATCTCAACACTGAATTGCTTGTCTTTCACCCATCCAGCTAATCTGCAGCTGATTAAGGACTGTGGAACACTCCCTTTGTTCCTAGAAGTAGTTATGTGATTAGTTACATAATTAAGTACATGGTGAATGCTCTTGAGAAGTTTATTTCTACCTGAAGTCAAATACAACTGTCTGCAGCAGGTTAGTTCCCCTTATTTCATAACTGCTATAAGAAAGAAATTGCACTGCTGCTTCTAACTAATGAGGACAAGAACCTCTGCTTTATGTTAATATTTCTAGGTCACATCAACTACATATAAAAATATGTATAATTTTTATATTTGTATATATATTATATATGTATAATATAAACCAATGGGACCTAAAAGTTCGTAACTGGGTAACCAACTCTTAGGAAAGAGCATAGAATAATAAATAATGAGTATGCAGATGTGTCTTCATTTAAGCATTTATGCCCAGATGTGAAAAAGAAAACATATGCAAAAAACCCCAACCAATCAACCCCTAGAAAACCCCCACCACCAAAAGAAGACCATCCTAAAGATACACTAACATAGTTATTCAGAATACAAATTTACAAAAAGAAAAAACCAAACCCCAGAAAAAAAAATTCTGGTCTGCTTTCAATACACAAGTATGCAAGAGACCTTTTTTCCTAAGATTTTGAAGATGGCAGAGTATCTGGAGCTTAAGTTAAACACAATTAAAAGTTTTTGCTTCAATCCTCATTCTAGGAAGGATTTGACTAGGATTTAAAAGAGATACAGGATTGTGGAGTCTCAAAGCACTATCTGCAAGATAAATGCTCAATATCAGAAAGGCTATGCTACAGACATTAAATTCAAAGTGTTAAATTCAGTGTGAATTCAATTCCATAGTATCTGGAAGTTACTTGAAGATCAAAACCACAAGGCTTGACTAGAAGAGATTCTGAACGTAAAACAGGTTAACAGATAGAGTGACATTAATAAAGAAATCTTCAAACAATTAGAAAGGCTTACTCTATCCAAACAATCATTCTTTTAGATTCCCCTTGCTTCAGCGTTCCAAAGTCAGTCATTCTTGATACTTTCAACTCTCCTCTGTCTCTCATTATGTCTTCATAAGGCTCATCCACATTACCTTCATTAGAGTGAGACTGTCTGCAAAAATAATTTTAGGTTGCAGTTTTTAAACACTAATAGGCTCAGCATATATCTTTGATTCAGCACAAGTTTAAGAAACACTATACCAAGGCATAGTCATAATATTTAGAAACAAGCAGGTGAGAAAGTTCATTTTTTTTCTCAGCCATTTATACTTCCAAGAAAATTAGATTAACTAATTTAAGCAGCAACAAGTCTTTAGTCTTTGTCAGCAGCACAATAAACCAGCATAAAACTTTGCATGCAAGACTAAAATGATTGAGGAGTTAATGAATCCCTGCTGAAGAGTTAAATCAAATGGTGAGTGAAGTCATTATGGCTCTCTTTGGGAGCTCAGCAAAGACACAACAAAGAGCAGCTCCTAAGCAAGAGCCATGATTAGCACTGCAGCTAGGAGATAAAATGACTAGACTGGAAGTGTTTCAACCCATGCATTTGTGTCTTCTGCTTACTGTTCCTATCTGAAATCAGCAAGGTGAGGACAAAATTAAAAAACAGCTGAAAACCAAAAACTATCCTTGAAAACTTTTATCACATACAACTAATAAAAAATGCCTATGAAACCAGGCACGTGCTCTTTACTGCCTGAAACACTGAGCACTTGTCTAAAGTCTTGGTGCCTTCTACCCATAATAACAAATTTTCACATGGATTCTATTCTGTAATTAAGAAACTATTCATTTAGATAAAATGGCATGGAAATAATTTAGAAATATTTTAATAATCTCACTGATATGTACACACCCTCCGTACTCCTGAGTTATCTGACATACTGAAGTAGAAAATGACTGCAACTGCTTCTCATTAGCTATATCAACTTACTAGCCAAGCCCACTAGATGTCTCCCACTGCAGCCTAAGATGCCGTTTTTGATATGGCAGATGTACTCTAAACCTGAGAAATCAACCCTAAGGTCTACTTTTGTAATTTGACTATATTAATAATTGTCTATATAAAATCTATCATTAAAAATAGGTGCAACTGAGAAAAAGATGTGAATAATTTGTACTGTTTTGCAAAATGTTGTAAACACTTAAAGTTTCATTTAGGTACAATTTATTAGATCTGTTATCTCTAGAGAAAACAGCTAATATAGTTATTTGTAGATTCTTTGAAGACATATATATGGCCATATGGCCTTGGCTAAATTTCCTAGAGATCTCCCAAAGATGATGTTTGAAAGATACCGGAATGTCCTTTTGGTCTCCATTTGGACTTCCCAATTGACAATTTATTTTTGGCCTGCAGAGTTAGACTACATAATCCTGCCAAGACCTCAGCATGGAAAGTGATAGATACAAGTTCTATTTATTCAGGCGGTAATTGTGTGTTTCACAGTACAGATACTTAAACTCAAAAGTCCAATTCCATACCTTTGAGGTCCATTATTGATTAGTTGCCTATTTTACTTTTGTGTAGTTGATTATTTCCCTAGGTTTTGCTTCTTCTCCATACTGAAGATCGCCTACTTCTTCCAATCCCTTTAGCGGTGTATCCAGATCCTCCTCATACCATATATAATACCTAAAGTGCCTGCAGAACCTCTCAGTTCAATACTTGCAAACCAAATGAATCTCTAGATTTAGACCATCAAACTTTTCCTTTTAGGACAGATACCTGAACAAACAGTGTAACTTAAGCAAAATGGATTAAAGAAACATGATTTTATAAGTATTTTTCTGTGATCTGTTTTCAAACTGTAAAGCCCTACTAGAGGAGCACAATGAACTTGGCATTTTTCTAATATGCATGTACAATTCCTTCCCTGCCTAGCAATATCCCTGAGAGCAACTGCTATTAGTTTTGCTTCTCTAGTAGCACTCATGTTCCCACCTTCTGGAAGGAAAAAAAAAAATCCAAACAAGGGCCAAATCATACCATGCTCTAGTTTTTACAATGGTCTATTATGCCTTCTAGTCAATTAGGGAAATATTCACAGTATTTCTTGCTTAACAGATGCAATGAAATTTCAGCTGCATAATTACACCACGTCTCTAACTGCTATAAAGAGAAAAAATAAAATTACCCATCCTGGTTGACTGGCACCAAGCAGAGAGCTCTCCAAATGTAACAGGACTGACTGCTCTCCACCACAATTGTGTTCACCAGATCATGTCTACGAGGAAAGTAACCATCAGGAAGTCTCAGTGAATCCAAAGTGAAAAATATACTGTCATCTACTGTCCCAGTTCTTCCACAAATGTTGGAAATGCGAACCTGTAATATCAAGTAACAGTAAATACAAACTATTATCTTTTTAAACTAACAGACATACTATTTTTTCACCTGAAGCAGCCCTTCTAGCATTAATAAAAATGCATTCTGAATTTTCAGTTATTCACAGGAGGTAAACACAGAGCCCTAACCCAGAATCACTGTGCCTGTCTTCAGATTTAGAAGAGTAAAGAAACACAAGTACTTCAAATAAGCATTAAGTTCCACTGAAGTGCATACTACAATATGTACATTAGACTTAATCATGATACCTTTCTTGTGACGTATCAACTTACCTTATTTATACTTCCATACTAGTACTAACAAGACAATTTTTTTCCTACACTTGATGTGCAAATATTCAATATATAGGTTTAAGACAATAAACCTAGCATAACACACATGACTAGAGTGAACAAATATTTCTGTTAAAATAAAAAAAAGAGACTGTGGTTTTAAGTGTTTTTAAGCTGAAACAGTTGAATAAATTAAACACAATAAATTCCTCAATCATGACACATCCTCACTATAACTAACAGCAGGAACACAAATCAGCAATTAAGAGATAAGTTACTCTTTCTGTCCAACCCAAAATATGTATTTTCAAAATGCCTTATTATTTTACTAACATGATCTAAATGGATGAATTAATATGTTTTATCTTTTACTTAAAGATGTGCTATAGAAGATCTACCGATATTTGTAACTGAAACCAATTTGAAACCTCATTTCACCCAGGATTCCTATTGCCAAAAACAATGTGTAGAACCTTTACCTTGTTTACTTGTTTATACCTCAAAGGCCTTACAGCAACTGCTTCAGTCTTCCATGTTGTTGAGTTAATATAATACTTTGCTTGCACCCAGTCTCCTTCATAAGGTTTGAAATCTATACAAAACAGAACATTTCTCAAATGTTGATAACATTTACATTACTCCCCTACAGAATTAATGTAAGTTAAATAAAAGCCAGAACAATGTATTATTCAGACCCACTGAGTCCAAAGTTTTCTTTGCAGTCCTTTGCTTTGCATACTACATAGGAGATGCTAGTGGAAAAATACGCTGCTTACATGTAACTTATGCTTAAATGCAGGCCATGATCAGTGAGAATAAACAGGCAGCTTTCTCCACCCATGTCTGGCTGTTTCACTATGTTTCACCACATATCCTATAAGAATTTATTTGGGATGACAACTTCAAGTTTGTCAGAAGATATTTCTATTGTATACACAAAAATATTAAGAAAGAGGAAACAGTCCCTACACACCTTCCCAGACGTCTTGCATTGCAAAGTATGTATTCTGATTAATATAGCCACCATCCACAGAGAGAGAGGTAATACTGCCAATTAGTGTTTTCTTATTCAGTTCAGTGGCATCACAAGTAGGACTGAAGTCTTCTTGTGTATTCTGGATGGTGTCTACCTATTGATACAAAAATAACCCCAACATTTAAACAGCTGAGACTTAGAATGAAATATATATTCCTACAACAAATATACAAAATTTCAATTGCATATGGAGACAAAGCTTCTGATTATACAATTACTGCAGCTGTTACTTTTTGGACACAAAGAGTAAGTAATAAACAGTGACTTCTCTTTTAAAGAGAATGTTTAAAACTTCTCTTTTAAAGAGTGCTGTATAAAACTTCTCTTTTAGAGTGCTGTATGCTGCAGTACTGACAACGGCTATAATTACATGTTGATTTTTCAAATCTTTCTCACACATCCCTTGCTCTAGGTCTATTTAAGATTTTTCCTCAATTGACAGGAACATCACATGCAGCCATGTGCCTGTACATAACTGGAAGTAGAAAATAACTATTTCAGAAAGCAAAAAACATGTTTTCCAGATGGTCTTTATAAATACTGTATGTATTTCAGACTGACCCTGTCACTTTTTAGTAATTTGATTAAAAAAAACCCTAGAGCTGCTTCTATCAGATTCTTCATATCACCACCTCACATGTAAGTTTACTGAAGTCTGATCCAATCTGAAGCATACGATCATACTATATATTATTTATTTTTTGAGCAGAATGCTTACCATTTACAATAGTAATGAACAGAGTAGGTCTACCTATACTTCAGAGGTTTGCAAACACTTGTTGACTATAAATAGCTATTTATTTTTCGGCCAATACCGTTTTATTGCATTAAAATAATTACTATTACATAATATTTGACAACTCGAAAACACACAGTAAAAAAAATGAAAGAAATCTATACTTTGTTCCAGCCTGACAGACATATCTTCCCATTCACCAGGAAGATCTGAGAATAACAAACTTTTTCTGAAATTATTTTTATGGCTTCATATGGATAGAACATGTATAAGCAAACTGTTACTCAGAAAACGAATAAATTTATATTTCATGTAAACTACACATGCAGTTACACTTGAAAGTAATATGTAGACCTAAAGAAATGTTTTTAAGACAAGAAAACACCTTAAAACTCCCTATATACATTTTCTTTTGATACTTCTCATTTTTTCTCTACCAATAAATCTAAAGTTCTTTCTCATACTAGGTCAAAATGGCCTTCCAACTTCCACTGGGAGCAGCCTGGTTTTAAAGCCTGCTACAGAACCTATAATCATTCAATGCAGACTTGAATTAGGACTGGACCTCAAATAAACTGAAGTCCAAACTTTTAAGCCATGATCTTTCCAAACCATATGGCCAGCAGCTCCAAAGAGCAGCTGAAACAGTACACTGAGCGGAAAGGCACCCAGGGCTGACCATGCTCTTCCTTAAAGCAAGTAACACAAACACACCGACACCACCAAAGTTTGAACTGTGCCTTCCAGATTCTGCCCCACACTGTGCTGACAGGGTCCAGGCTTCAGAGCTTCTAATCCTGCCTTCTAGATCACTTAAAACCCAAAGTGGCAATACCTCAACTATTTGGAAGAAGATGGTACTGGTATTCAAGTATCTATTTATATAGTAGTTAATTATTAATTATGCTTGTCAGGAAGCTGAATTTTTTCCTCTAACTAGGGGTTTGAAAAGGGACTTAGTTTTTTCCCATGTGAAACAATTAGAATTCAAATACTGTTATCTGTTCTTATCAAATGTTGGGAGTATCTCAAGTTTGTGCCACTATATGGAAAGTAAGGCAATAAATCACAAAGTACAGAATGGTTGAGGTTTTTATTTATGTTCTTAGAACAGACTTTTAAGAAATTAGCTTTATCTTCTTCCTTATTGAATCAAGACTGCCCCTGGACTTTGACTTTATTTATAGAGTATAGTTAGCTTTTGACATGAACTTGTCTCAAAGCTTTTTACCCAGCCATAAACTACATTGCCAACAGTATGACAGGCCTGCAGGATTATAGCTCACAAAGAGGAATAAGGAATATCATCACACTTTTGAAAATGCCATTATCTAGAATATACAGCAAAGCATGCCACAACTGCTACAATACTCTAGTTGCTTTGTAGATCCATATGCAGTTTCTCAGTTACTAGGTTTATGTATTTTGGAGCAATTACAGTATTTCAAAAGTGAAAGCTGTCAGTCAGAAGAAAAAGAAGGAAGAAAAAATAAGATTTAAACTACTCAATTTTCTGACTGCGTGTGAGTACTGTTTTACCAAACAGCACTGATATTGCTTGTTGGACAAACAATAATTAGTTTTTATGCAAGAAAGTAATTTAAGGAAAAACAAAAGGAAGTAAGAGATATAAGGTTATCTTACAAGACACCAGGTTTTTGACAGCACTACAGTTGATAACGTTTTAGAAACAAGACTTCCTGTTTACTTTTATTCTGTTTAATTTTGGGTCACAGAATAAAACTGTCTCTCCATTACGTCTTTCTTTGGTTTTATTTAAACAATGAAACTACATTTAATTTGAACATGATTTGCTAAGAAAAACTCCCCTCAAAATTTGTGACAAGGTATAACCAAGCTTGAAACAAGTTTGCAAATGAAGTGTTAAGCAAAAAATGTAGCAAGATCTCAATTTTTGTAATTGTCTACAACATCAAGTTACTAATTTTTACAAGAAGTTTTGAAGTCTCTGTTCTTATTCACAAGAACATAAATTAGTCCTGTGGAAAAAGAGCAAACTTTGCACAAAATCAAACTGCTTTATCTTCTTAGCCATTCATATAACAATAACATAAAATTGACTGAAACTTGGAAAAGTTATGCTCTTACTGGAGTAGCTATGACAAAAATTCTGATGCAATTAATAGCTTCTTATTCACTACACCTGTACTCAGAGAATCAGTATTAAACATAATTTTTAAAGAGATAGAATGAAACAATAAAATGATCCACAAAATCCAACTTATCCCCTGTAGGTGAACGGCTTGTAATTTCTCCTATTTTGTAGAAATTGTGAGGCTAAAACTATAGCAACTTCCAAAACAAAGCCTCGAGGTACTTATGGGGACAGTGAGACTACTATTTATCTTCACCTCTTACCCTGACAGCCTTCAGGCCACCTGACGTTTTATCCTCTTCCACAGTGGCAATAACTTCTTGTCCAACAGCCAGCAACATATTTTTTGTAACAACATCCTTTGTGAAGACTATCATGTCATCTATCATCCCATAATCATGGCAAAGTCTTGTCACTACTCCTTGTACCCTTTTCAATTCTTTATCACCTGCATCAAAAGGAAAAGTGTTGACAGAACTATGCAAAAAGTTATGAATGCTACTAAAAGGGACATCTGTTCTATCAAAAGGCCAACTGGAAGCAGCAACACCTGCCAACTAATTATTTTCACAATTAAGTCTTGGGGTCTTATGGCAATTTATGGTTTCAACCAATTAATAAAGTTAGTTAAAGACAAACTACATTTTAAAACCAACATGCTTTAAGCACCATAAAATAAAATAGAGTATCTCACACTGAAAGAGACCCATAAGGATCACGGGGGTCTAACTCTCTGCTCCTCACAGGACTACCTAAAACTGAACAACACGACTCAGCGCATCATCCAGGTGGCCCTTGAACTCTGACAGACTTGGTGCCTTCCCCGGGAAGCCTGCTCCAGTGACTGACCACCCTCCCACTGAGGAGTCTGTCCGACTGTTCAATTTAAACTCCCCCTGATGCAGCTTCCTTCCATGTCCTTGTATCCTGTCACTGGTCCTCCGAGAGAGACCAGCACACCGCCTGAAGGTGTCCACTGTCAGGAGGTCACACCTCAGCTTTCTTTTCCCGGAGCTGAACAAACCGAGTGACCTCAGCTGCTCCTCCCAAGTCACACCCTCGAGACCTTTCACTGTCTTGCCCAGCCCCCACTGGACTCACTATAATGGTCTGGTGCAGTTCTTGTACTGAGGCATCCGAACTGCCCCCAGGAGTTGAGGTGAGGCCGCCGCAGAGCAGAGGGGACAAAGCCCTCCCTCAGCCAGCCAACGATGCCGTGCCCGATGCGGCCCGGGACGCCACCGGCCCCCCCGGCTGCCAGGGCACCGCTCCCGCTCCTCACTCCATCCTCCCAGCAGCAACAGGAACCTGTCCTACCCACGGAACGGCAAGAGAGTCCATCCGGGAAAACTCCACATGCTCTGTAGCCAAAATGGTGCCTCATCATCTCAATCTCCTCTTTAAGTCCTTTCTTCAGAAAAGAGATCTGCACTCAGCTCCAGTCACATGGGACGAGCACGCCTCACAAGCTGCACCACAAACCCACAACCGGCCCGGAATTCCTACCAGAAGCCTCCCCTCTCTCATCTTCGTCATCTGCGCGTCTCCAGACGTAGGAGAGCGCCTTAGAAAGGAGAGCGAGCATCCCGGAGCGCCTAGGCGAAGCCTCCGAGCCCCGGAGCGCACCGAGGCCAGGCGCGAAATCCCGCTCGGCGCGCCTCGAGCCCGCGCGGCCGCGGCCAATGGCGCCGCTCGCCCCGGTCACGGGGCCGGGCACGGGGCCGGGCGCACGCCGCGGGGGCGCCCGCGGGCCCGCGCAGGGGCTGCCCCGGCGGCGGGAAGAGCCCGCGGCCTCAGCGGGCGGCGGCCCGGCAAACGGGGAGGCACACCGGGCTACCGCGGAAGGGCTTAAAGGAAAAGGGTGCGGGCAGCTTCTTGCTTGCTGGTGGCGCTGTCTGAAGTTGCGGCCGTGGTGTATGACAGCGTGTCTGTGACGAGACGCCCGAACCAGGGAGACCTCGCGGACGGGCTGTCACCTGCCCTGGGCTGGAGCTCTCCGTGGCTCTGGGAATAAACCAGGCACGGAGGCCCTCCAGCGTGGTGAAACGGAGTGGGTTGGAAGAGTCTGCACCTGACATATTGATGGATCGTGATGCTCTCAGTAGCAGCCAGTTTCAAAATTATACGATAAACTCTAGTGTGGCAAGCACATTTCTCTCCCTCTCAAGATTTTTCATAGAGGTCCACAAGAGAAATGAAAGAGAAAACAATTTCTGCTGCTTGTTTTTCCTATATGGAATGTGTTTGGAGAATTGTTTACCTGGAGTGAGTGCTTGATTGGATTCTGGTGAGGACTGTTTGAGCCTGATGGCCAATCCAATCCACCTGTGTCTGGACTCTCAAGAGAGGGTCACGAGTTATGTGAGAGTTAGAGTCAGAGAAAATAATAATAAAATAAATTTTAGTATCCTCCTTTTATATAGTATATTAATGTATTTTAACATAGTTATAATAAAGAAATAATTCAACCTAAATTGAGTCCAACATCATCATTTCTTCCTGTTGGGTTCGCCTGCATTTCCAATACTCTAGAACATGAGAAACTTGTCTAACAGGAAAAAGGTGTTTTTGACTTGATATCATTAATGAAGGAGCTGCTGTAGAGCCTGAGGAAATACAAATTTACTGACTTGCTATCTCTGTAGTTCTAGACAGTTAGTATCTCTGCAGTTACTATACCTGTAGTTACTATCTCTGTATTTTTACCAGTTCTCTTCACACAGTGCAGTTCCAATATCTTGCGTAAGGCCTCTGTGCAATTTGTTCAACAAATCCTTTTTCAAAGAGCAGAGCTTTTTTTGAGTTGACAAGCTCAGCATCCCAGTAGTTTAAATAGGAGCTGCCATATAAAAGCTGTTACAGGAGGTTGAGCAGAGCAGTGTGCACTTTTTTGGTAGAAATCACAAAATGCACTGCCTAAGTTGTGTGACTGAAGCAGCATTTTAGTTTCTAGCTGTATGGTCCACTCAGCATTATTTAGGCAAAGAAGGGCTAGGAATGAATTTCAGATGGTTTAACACTTTCGTACAGTTCTATACAATTCCTAGAGTAGAATAAATTCTGGTTGCCAGTAACTGCACACAGGTTCCAGTGTCTAATTTTGAAGTAACTGAGATGATGCCATGGGAAGGAGAAACATGTGAGTGTCTGTAGTCAGTACTGTTTTTAGAAAAGTGCTGAGACAGTGTTAGCCTCTTTTGGATACACTGATTTAAAGAATTTTAACTCCTATTTTCTTCCACTGAGTTTCCAGTGGGAGTGCTGGCAGGGAACTGTTAGTTGGCAAAAATGAGGTGGATGAAGAGATTGTGTTTCTGGAGAGGATAATGGTTTACACAAAGGACTAAATCCAAAGAAGTTTGTATTATCATGGAGGAACAAATGTTATTCTAGAGGAGCAAGGCATCAATTTGAAACTATTTGATCTACATTTTCATCTTGGTTCAATACATGCCCCAAGACATGAACTAGGAAACATGGACTGAGGAATCAGCTACAGAGAAACAAAATATGTCAAAGAGCTGGTTTTAAAAGAGGAGAAAATACACAACAAGGAATACAGGTAATTAGCTAAAGTAGCATAATTAAATATTGTGTGAAAAAAACACAGGTGTAGTACAGCTATTAACTCATCAGAAAATTGAAGAGTTGGTCAGGATGATAAATGTAAACTTCACCAGAGCTTCAGGTACGGTTTATATTCCAATTTTGGAATGTGTGTGTGAACCTTTTTTCAGGGCTAGGGAATGTGTCCCAGGACAGAATGCTTTTTCCTTAGTCCTTGATAGCAAAAGTAGGACTCTGACAAGTTTATGTACCTTTTTGTCACATTATCCCTTGACACTTGAATTATAACTGGTAATCTGTTTTTTATCTTTTGTCATTACTGTAGGGGATGCTTGCAGTGCACACAGTCTGTGTGCAATGACCAAGTAAGTATATGCTGTAACTGCTTCAGGCAGCTGAATTTATTCAGTGGTCAGTCCTGTGGTGGAAGTATGTAGTTATTCATAGCTGATCATGATTTGATTTAATTGTCATCCCTTGATACCTTTTGGCCTAACTTAAAACACTTAATTTGTAAATCCTTTTCAGAAGCTTTTCATGTTGTGTTGGAATTGATATACTTTCTGCACTCTTTGTGTAAAATTCCTATGCATTCTTTAGAATTAGGAGGACTCTCTTTCTACAGCACATTTTTACCTTATCTAGTATTAGAAGGTCTTAGTCAACGACCTGGGTTCTGGACTTGCACAAAAAAGAGACTTTTTCTGGAATCAGGAACATGAGATGAAGGGAACCTAAAATAAGGGTCACAGAAAATTTTAGAAATTGAACTTTGAAATGTATGTGTTTTTTCTTGATGTTTTTGTTGATGCCAATTGCAGAGGATGCATTAATTATGAAATGAACCTCTATGCAAAAGGGAAATGGGAAATACTGAGAAGTACACAGGAAAGGGGGTAGGAGGAATTTCACAATAACCTGAGAAAACACTGTATAACCATGCTTGAGAGAGGGAACTTTCAGATGCAATACTGGCTGAAACACTTGGAACTGTGAACAAGTTGTTCTAGGGTTTGAACCTTGCTCTGGTCAGTGGTGCAAGACTTTATAAATTCTTTTTTATTCAAAGAGATTAGATCAAGTAAATACCTGAATATCTCAACAATTTTGTGTAAAAAAAAAGCCACCAAAAAAAACCCATAAATCTTCTCCCTAAACTGATCAAAAGGGTTAAAATATGGTTGTGTTTTGTGTCTATGGTAATTTGCGTCAAACAGTTCCTAGTATTCACTGAAAGAGCTGTCAGGTAAGCAATACCCATTTTTCATTAAACCACGGTCTTTGGAAAGTTACAGATAATGGAAATAGTTGTGCAGTGTTTCTTTCATGAGCAGAGGAACAGTAGGGCTTAATTACTTCAGAAAGTTCTGCTTGACTGTACAATCTTTTTTCCCCTCTTTTCTAGCACAGTTTACAGATGTGTCTATTGCTGTGTATGATGTACTAATTCCTCTGTTTAAATCTATTAAAAGAACTGTAACATTTTAATATTATTTCAGTATTGACTGACATTATGAAAAAAGGAAAATCTACTCTGGTTAAACTGAGAAGTTCTGCTGTTCAAAAGTTTTTCTAGCATACTTTGAAGGTGATGCCCTTCAGAATACTGAAGATTTAATTGTGTCTTGGTTACAAGAGTGTTTAAAGTTTAGACAAAAGACCCTGTCATTGCTGTAGCTGTCAAGGTGCCAACATCTTCCAGATAAAAACGTCCTTTTTTTCCCCCTTTTCATTGCTTAATAAGCAGGAGGACTGGATCCAATGTACGCTGGCCATTGCATGTCACTGCTGCCTGCTAGGCTGAAAATATGTTGTTTAGTCATCCGGGCGTTCTGTA